GGCCAGGGGTGGCACTAAATATTCAACAATGCATAGGACAGTTCCCCCAAAGAATTCTGCCAGCCAAGACACTGTAGGGAGAAGCCCCACCAGTAAAGAAATAGCAGAAAGCAGATGTGCAGCCAGTGACCACAGGATGCAGGCAGGTAGTGGAAATGAGTCACTGCTGCCAGATGTAAATGGAACAAAGAGTGGTCTTTAGCATCCTTTTCATATCCAGGGTACATACTTTCACTGTGTTTGTTCTGACCAAGGCATCTTAAGTTCTAGTCCCTCACCAGACAGGTTTAACTAGTATCTTCTTCGCTCCCACAAAGCACAGCACCCCTTCTATTTTTCCCTGAAACACAGTGCCCTCCCAGCTATCTTTGTCTTCCCTCTTTAGATAAGGGACATAGTATGTAGAGGAAACATGTTACTCTAAAATCACAGTTATATTGTCACAGAGCAACCCTAAGGTGAAATGGGTTAGCCTGTGTTGTTGAGTGTGACCATATAGGGGCAGTAGCTGCAGACCCACCCTAGGGAGCTCAGTCTCAGCTGCTGCCCGGGAGCAATAAACACTACTTGTTTAGCCTTTCTGCCTCCTGTCTTTCTTCTTGCAGCCAGTTATAGAAATCAGGACAAAACAGCCTGTGGGTCCTCACCTGCGGGCTAAAAAGGGGGCGTATAAGGACTCACCTGCAGGCATACAAAAAAAGGGTAGTAAAGGGTTTATTTATAAAAAGGGGAAAATAAAGAAAGGAGTAACTCAGAGAGAAATAAATTGGTGAATGCATCCTACTGGTTCTGCTGAGCTAGGACCCCAATAGCACACTGAGAGCTGGCAAAAAAAAAAAAAACAAGCCCCCCCCCCGCCAGGCCCACATGTCTGGCTATATACCAAGTTTGGCCGCTTAACTCCACCTCCACCCTCGGTCCCCAGTAATCCTCCCTTCAACGATGACACGGTGGGATTTTGGTGTTCTTGATGTCTCGGATCTCTCTGGTCTGCGGTGAGAGTAGGAACCATAAAACCTGTGTTTGTGGAGTTCCTTCAGGACGTCATCTCCCCACCAACAATATCACATGATAAATGACAACTGGCAACCCCAGTTTTGGGGAAACAAGAGATTAGGAAAACTGGACTTTGGCAAACTGGACTCTTGTGTTCTCATTTGAAAAGGGGGAGGAGGATATTTACTTAGTTCCAGGGCGGCACGTGTGTCACATGGCGACGTCAGTGCAGTGATGTTCCATAGTATGCTTCTAACGAGAGGCAGAACATCACAGAACTGCAGATGCTTTTCCTCTGCACTACCACCACCTCCCACCCCTCACCCCCCAATTCTGGTTTAATTGCTCTGGTGTGTGATTTGGTTATAAGGGTTTTTAGCATCCATGAATCTAGTACACAGCCAAAATGAGATGGAGTCCGGTGCCCCATGTTCACAGACTCTGAGGGTCACACACACACAAAGTCAGCTAGTTTAACAGGAGCTGAATCTGAACAGTTCTCCTGAAGCTGTGGGTCATATTAGATCATGAAATCAAAGTTTAATAAACACCTTTTTCAAAGGACAGACCAGGCAGTTCAAGTGTAGTAGATAAGATAGGTACAGGCTAAGTACTGGTACAAAGCACTTTTGTCTGCAGTAAGTATATGCACATATGTACCGATTAGACTCCATTGTCTTTCCAAATCTGTTCTCCTCCTTCCTCTGCCCTGTTTCTAGTTCCAGGGGAATACCACAGTGATAAAGAAAGAAACAGGAGTCATGGAGCAGGCAGTAGGGTGCAGGATATGGCTTGATGCAGGGTGCTTGCCTTTTTATTGACAGAAAAGGGTGGGTCAAACTGCACACTTGATTTTGGGCTTTAAGGAAGGTGAGTATACACCCAAGGCTCCAATCTTACTAACAAGGGGTTCTACTGATCAGTCCCTGGGGTGCAAAGCACATCAGAATTGTCCCAGGACAATCAAGCATTCTGCTCTTGTCTAACTTGACAGGAGTCTTGCACGCTACACCCACAGAGGCTGACCCCACAGGATTCATTTGGGTCCCTTGCCTCGGGATTTCCAGCTAGCTGGTCAGTGAGCAATGCCAGCGTGGGTTAAGTGTTCAGGTCATTCTTCTTGGATGATCTTGCTCCTACAGCACAGCTCTCCTGGGTTCCTCTCCTGAAAAAGTTCTTCCCTTCAGCTTTCCGTTAACAACCCCTGGCTGCTTCAATATCCTCTGTGGATTCCTTAAATCTGCTCACCCCTCTGAAAACATACCACTTATTAAGTGTGTTTCCTGCCAGGGCATGATGTGCATAAGTAGGTGGCAAACACATACACAAATGTACTGGACCACATTTTCAGAAGTGTGGGCAGGCTTACATAAACTATTCTGTTTACTGTATGGGTTGTCATTTTAAAAATTTGAGAAACATTGTCATGGTCCTTCTTACTGAGTTATTGCTTCCTCTGGCTCATACAGAGAGCTACTGCACTGAAAATTCTAAAAATAAACATCAAGAACCCTTTCTTATAACTGTTGTCAAATAAATTTATTGACTTGGACAATGGTTAACCCCACCAGAGCGGAAAGTCCCACCCTAGTAGGTAGTAAGTTCCTCTTCACAGGGCTTAATACACATGACCAGGAGAAAAACTGGACCCCTCGTCAGTTTCTAACTCTTAAAAATCTGTCATCAAATCTTTCATCAAGGCACCTCAAGTTGTAAAAATGTGTTTCTAAACCCCATGAAGCAACTTTTGTCATAACAAAGTCCATACTAAAAAATTGCAAAATATCAACTCAGCCCTCACTCATTCATGCCAGTGATTCTGCCGAGCCATCCTCAAGCTCTTCAAGCATCCATTGTCTCATGCAGATGGTTATCAATGGCAGAAATTCTCCAAACCTTGGTCTGATCATCCAACCTCCATATATGGGATGGCCAGTGTCTAAAGTGTACATGGAACAGTGCAAGAACAGCTCCTTCACTGACCGTCCATTCAGGGCCCAGAGGAGTGAGTCAAATAAATCAAGTGCCACACAATATCAAATTAATACAAATCTGTATTTAGGTACATGCATCACTAAATCCAAATATAAGCCACCAAACATAAGGAAAGAGTCACAGGAAACATAATTAGCAGAAAAGGAAATACACATATAATAGCAACAGATATTACAATACTCTTATGATTTCTTACTGCAACCTCTTTGAAGAAATGTCATTGTAGGGTCTCCCTGGTAGCCCAAGGAGTTAAGTCTCAGCACTATGAAGAAATCCACAGCCACTGCAACAGGAGTTCAATCCCCAGCCAGGCCAGGGAGGTGACTTACATGGCACAGCAGGCAGCTCCTGTCTGTACTGCTGCTCCCCTCAGCAGTGTATTTCAGATCTGCCTGTTCTCCCACTCTGTCTCTAGTGAATTCTCTCCCCCACTGCATCTCTGGCCTATATACCTCAGCTCTTGTACACATAAATCAATCTTTTTAAAAAAAGTCATTTTATATTTTACCATATAATGGTTAATGTTTTTACTAGTCATTCAAGAAATATGCAACTTCATTTTGTTACCAGATTTCAATCAGTATTAAACATTGGCTTTTGTAACAGCAACAAGACATTGTTAAAGATATCAAGTGCCTTCCCATGCATTTATTACCCAGGCCTGTTCCGGTTAGATCTACCCCAAGGAAAGTGCCCCTGGGGTAAGTAGACCAGTTGATGTTATAGGGAAGAAAAGGCTCACAAAGGAAATACCTTGAAACTTGAGCTAAACTTAACCACTGTGAACTGAATCTAGAGTCTCTGTTTCATCCATTGTACCATGCTGCCTCCCCAAGGTGAACTGATCTAACCTGCAACCAGCCAGACTTTTTGAGATCACTACTGAAAACACTGAGTTTTTCTAAGCTTTAGGCTTTAATCTTTAATCTGCAAAAGAAAACAAAGTGTACCCCAATAATAGCACCAATCTTTCTGAGCCTATTAACACACACAGGTATGACTCTGGCTTTTTACGATTAATGGCTTTCAGTGGTGGCTGTGGTCTCCAGGGAAGCCGATTTTGCCTTGTCCTATTCCTCGGCCTATTTGCACACCAAATTCTTTTTGGGTCACTAAGGGAATCTGAAAGAGTAACAAGGAATAAATTGCCAAAAGTTAAACGATTCAGTAGCCATGCCCATTCATAGCATTATACAGGAAAGGAAATGTTACAGCATTTTACAGTGACTTAGAAAAATTAGGCCTATTATCTGAACTGCTATAACGTGCCTTATCCGATGTGAATCGGGAAACAAAGGGAACCTGAAGTCGGTCTACAACCTGTGAACACTTCCACTTGGCTTTTTTTTTTTTTTTTTTTTTTTTTTTTTTTAAGCACAGCGCTACACGTTTTCCATCTGGTGCCCGGCAGCGGCGGCGAGAGACCAAAGGAGCCTCCCCGCCTAAGATTCCCCAGCTCAGACAGAAGGATTGGGCTCGGGCGCCCCCAAACACAACACATCCTGGAAAGTGAGCGGCCGAGGGGGATTCACAAAGTGTCAACGACGGCGTCCGCAGCCCAGGAAAAAGCACGCTAAAATTTAATCATAAGTTTAGCAACTTTCTGGGACAAGGAACGAGTTTCTGCTTTCAGCTCTACAGAATCACTTCCACCCTCTAAAGACAACCATCCTCCTGGGCAGGGGCCGAGATAACGGTCCGCGCCAATCAGCAGCGCCCAAGTCTCGTTAGCACAGACCTGCCAGTTCTCCGCCAGGCCGGGCAGCTGTTGATCGCGGGGCCATTTTTTTTTTTTTTTTTTAATACAGAGATCAAGAGCGAAGGAGGCAGACTGAACCAGGGGGAGGGGAGGAGGAGGAAAGGACGTCCCGGGAAAAGTCGGAGAGGGCTGCAAACTGGCAGGGACCGGCCCGCGGGGCTCCGCGGCGCGGAAGCGGGAAGGGAGGGAGAAGGGGGCCCGTGCCTCAAAGTTCCGCGTCCGGTGGCGCCCGCGCGCTGGGTCTGCTCACCTAGCAGGAGCGTGGTCCAGGTCCGGCCGCGCCCCGCGC